TTGTCGCGCGGCTACAAAAGACTTAGAGTTGGAGGGCTTGTCGCGCGAGGCGCGCACCTGTTACATACCCCTTGTAACGGGGTATGTCGCGTGTGTGTGCCCCGGCCTTGTTACAAGCCTTTGGTTTTGACCCGCTCCCATTTATTTGATCATGTCAAAAATTGTTAGTCTGCTTTAGCTCGAATCTCCAAGATTTGAAATGGTTGCTTAAATAATGCTTTCATCATCTAGAAATACCTCCGGCATGACAACTTGAATCTTAGGAAAGCAAAGACCATTTAATTTCAAAGTTGGGACTGGCCAGCGAAAACATCAGCTTTCTATCCCCTGTATCCGCCTCTGTCCCTATTTAGGGTCCCTAAACCCTTGTTTATCTCTAGATCCAGCTTAGGTTCAAGAGGAAACCTCTTGCTTCCTCAGGGCTGCGACCCTTGCAATCTGGGCAGGTCCGCTGGAGCTCGAACGGCGTGAGCTCCACCCATTCATGCCTGACTACTTTAAGATTCTCAGGGCTTCACGGGAATTTTGGTCATATTTTGCGGTGCCAGTTCTTTTAGTGCAGTGCTTAACAATAGCTTCAAGAGTTTGTGCGCAAGCCCTCTGCGACCTTGAGAGTTTGGCAGATCCGAATCTCCAAGGATATGAGCTGAATGGCCTGATGAGAACTAGAGTATCTGTCTGCTAATGCAGAAGCTCGCATAATTCAACTGGGGTAGCCAGCGCCAAGGGGCAGTTTGTGAAGTACGCTGATTTGATGTTCCCAATTCTGTTGGCTTTTTCATCTCGTAGGACTTACATGCTTAAACTCCCACGTTCGGGACTGCCTCCAAGCTGCCCTTTATCATCTGTCTCGCGCCTTGGCAAGACCATAACTCTTCGGCCTTTCTCCAGCAAGCACCAGCTGGGAGCTTTCTCGTCGCAACGCTTCTTGACCAGGACCTACATGCTGCAAGCAACAGATCATTACAAGTGGCCTGTATAAGATGATTACACCGCGTGAGGATCTGGAATGCATCTTCAAGCTCTGCGGTGTCGACTTTTGATGCTGCAAAAGCTCATGCTAATGCAGCCCGGAAGCCTTCTTGAAAATGACTTCAAACCATTCCATCGGAGGACCTCATGCTGCGCAGTCCGGTGGACGGAATATAAGTTTATAAGCCCAAGTCCTATCGGAGCTTGTGTGCAGTCATGCCGGTTGGGTGCCACCACCAAATCCATTAAAACATGTAGCATGTTCTGCATGAAGCCTTCTTAAACTCCAGGATGAACAAATTCAAATTGCCTCAGGAACCGTTTCTCGAATAAAATTGCCAAATTTGACATGCCGCGTTCAAACCCAGAGAGAGCTTCCCCTTTGCCACAGACCACCAGGAACGAGCAAAAATACACAACCATAATAGGTACCATCGCCCCCAACCACCTAGATACCACTACTCCTCCTCCTCCTCCTCTGGCCCGGGCCTGATTGGCCTGAGAAGCTGCCGGCCTCCTTGGCCTGCAGGTTTGCAAGCGCCGGCTTAAAAAAAAAAGGATACGATTCGGAGTTTAGGATTTACAGCCGGTTTTGCAGCCCGAATGGATTCAGACCTAGAACAAGGCCAAAAGGGCCCAAACCACAAATAATTGCCCGAGCAAAAAACCCAAATGCCACAGAGAGATCAAGGCAGGCTTGATGACTACAGAGTTTCAATTAAATTCTATATTGTGCCTGTTCGTTATGACGCCCAAAGTTGAAAGGCCTTGAAGCAGGGTTAAGGGGATTAAGGCTGGAACATCGGGAAATTACGGCCGAATGCCGGGAACTTGCGCCAGACTTGTCGTTGAATTACGATTCAGGGCTCCAAACGCATGTTTTCTCATCGCGAAAAGGCGCTCTTGTAGTCTCGAAACACCAGCTGAAACCATAAGGTGATGACGCCGCACTCAAGAAACCTCCAGTTCAGGCCGAGGTCTGTTTTTCAGTCTAGTTCATTCGGGAATATCAGCCCGGACAGGGATGCAAGAATGCAGCATGTAGGTAGTCATTGGGCTATACCATCATCTAATTGGTATAGTTACTGCTCTTGTGCTGTTGCCACAGCCAGGAGTGGTTGTTTGGTTGCCATCGCCTCTTGCACCAGCTTTTGAAGCGCTTCCCTGCCGGTGTCTTGTCGGCAAAGGAGCCCGGCAGCTCCCTGCAGCAGCCGTGCCTGCGATTCTGCAATCTGTCTGAAGCCAAGAAAGCATGATGAAGATGCACTTCTATCACCATAAACCGTATAGAAGGATGCATAGCGCCCCGGAAAAGAACCATCTTTCTTGAAGGATGCGGCAGTGGCAGGAGTGGGATTAAAGCTCATGCATGGCTTTCAACCCAACAGGTACTTTGTCGAACCACCTTGTTGCCATGGCTCTGCACGGCCAATGCTGCAGTTCACTTTGTATCGATTCTGCCGCTTGGGCGTGGGTTCGTTCTTCTGGAATTTGCTGGGTATAGCTGCACGTTTTGCGTTTTGGGATTTCAACTTGTACAGAGAGGGGTAATGACGTAGGATGTTCCACGAATACCCTGGCGCGGCCGCCGCTCGCCTTGAAGCCCCCACAAGTACAGTCCTTCTTTATGCCTCTTGCTATACTGGAAGGATGGCATGACCTTGCTTGCTGCATCCGTATATTCCACATAGCGGCAAAGGTTCGGTAAACGGGTCTGCTCCCAGGAAATGGCGAGCTTATCAGGACATATCAGGGACACTCCATAAGGGGTTGTAACTTATAACTTGTTCACCCCCACACCTAATCCTAATCCCTTCTGACCGACAAATTCCGCCTCTGGGCTCGGACTTCCAGCCACGTTCTTGAGCATCTCCTCGCTTGCGGAAGGCCAGCAAAACTGCTGCTCAAAAGGATTAGGCCCTGATCTGTGGCTGGGTGGCTAAATTGAACCTCACACAACGCTCCTCTGCCAGCTTCTTTGCCTCAAAGGCACGCACATACTGCCGCGCCTGACAGCTTGGAGCCCTAAATTTGAACGGCACGAATTTATCCCCAGAGCAAACCCAGCTCCTATGGCCCTGTGATTTTATTACCGTGTCCTGAACCGAAATGCGGAATTGCAGAATCACCCATCCAAAAATCTCAGCTCCAAGCCCTACGCACCAAGCTCCCGCAAGCACTTGTAAACCCCAAGCCTTTCAAAACTCCAAACCCAAACTTCCTGACTCGGATCCACCGCTTCGCCGCCCAAAACCGCCTGTAGGAGAGCGTGAAGCTGGAGGGGCCCCACTCTCCTCGGCAAAGGAAAGTTCTGGGTTATGCTTGTCAGAAATAAACTGGATCGTCATTCCACGTAAATGCAAGGTTTGCCTATGTCGAACTCTGTGTTAAGGGATAAAACCCCAAAGAACAAACTTGCACGTGGACATTCAGGTGGGCGCAGGATTGCAGGGACATCAGGCAAAGCGACCACAAGCCCAAACACAAAACCCCAAGCCCGGAGCTCTTCAGGCCCTTCTCCCAATTCAGCCGACCGAACGTTCCAAAGTTCAAAATCAACTCTGCCAGCGGGGAAGGCACTAACAATTTACAATCCTCGCACAGGCAAGGCCGAACAGGGCCTTGCGGCCCATAAAACTACAGACCCATTTGACACAGGGTGGCTTTGAGGATGGTGGTGGCAGACATCCCCATAGTTCATCTCAAGCTGAGGGCGCGTCAAAGCGGATGCACCCAATCTTGTGGCCTCCTGGCCCAGACTGACCGAGACTTTGGCAAATACGAGTACTAGTTTCCTGGAGAGCAATCTTAGAAGAATTTCATACACACTACCCGACATCGCTCTCCAAGTATATGTTATACCGTTAAGCAAACTTGAACATCACAAACAAACCATGGCATGTAAAGCAGTGCAAACGCATTAGAACAACCCTTACTTTGGCATGCAGATCCAATTACGCAGACGTGCAATCCGCGATTTACTCAAGACCAGTCAAATCTACATGAGAAAGCACGTATACTGCGCATCTAATCGCTCGGACGCAAAGGAATATCCCAACCTGAACTCTCAACCTGCGCATTCCTCCACCCAAATTGGCGATTCTACCGCGGCCACTGCCGTCAGACTAACGTGTGCTCAAACCACTATTGGAACTACGGCTTCTGCTGCCCTGCTGTGTTGCGATTTCCATCTTGCCATCATACCTAGTGGAGTCGAAGCAGCCAATGGCTTCCCCCGCAGTCCTTTAGGTGGCCGAGGGCCCTCTTTCCAGCCTCCTCCTTGGAATGGTCAACATTTGCATTGGGGCCTATGTTTCGACAAACGTGCGAGACAACCGTATATGACTGCCTGGTCCCTGAAGTTCTCTGAGATACCAAAGGCAACCCGCAGGTTCTGAGTGCCGAGCTTGGCTGAAATCAGAAGTGAGCAAATCTTCCGCCTCTCGATGCAGATTGTTTAGTTAGAAATCATATTTGAATAGGCGCTGTCTTCCAGGACGCTTATTAGTTGAGTCTGTCTTACTTTCTTCAATCCTTCTGCTAAGTTGACTTTCTGTTTTCTGGTTGAAGGTTCGGGATTTCTCTCCTGCCTGTGCCAGCTTTGGCGCGATCTTCTGGAGATTGCGGAGCTGGACTTGGATTTTGGACTGCTCCCGTGGCCTCGATTCAAGCGGAAAGGGGGCTGCTCAACAGGTAGACATGTATCTCCTACTATCTGTAATCTGCCCGGTGCTGTCAAACCATGAGTTTGAACTACCCACGGAAGCTTGCTAACATCCCGAGCTTAATCCTCAGAGGCAGGCTTCACCGCTGCCTCCCCACGCTTCAGCACTTCCTTCGCAGGGGTTTCCAGATTTGGCTACAGGGCTGACACGCTTCCGAGCTTGCCCCGCAGCACTTCTTGTTGAGATCCCTGCTGCTTTTCCCAACCCTGCCACGTGTTGTTCAAGTCCTCGGCACGAGGAAGATCTCCCTGTAGAACCATGCACCTCGAATTTACTTCCATGGATCATGCAGTACTTCATTCCGACATATTCCGATTACATCATGAACAAGCTATCGCGTATTCACGGCTGTGTGTATGGCATGCTTGGACGTGCACACGTGCTCCTTGTAAGGGATCCCGAGCAATTCGTGGCTTCCCCATGAGCTACAGCTACTGTCTCCGTCTTGCCCTAATTCTATAGCCAACCCAAAAAAGCCGGCCTCGATGCAATGAGGTAGGCTTCGGCCACGTTCGCCTGAAGTGCCATGGATGCCTCGCAGTCCTGGACACATGTCTTGTGGGAACGAGGCTATACGGTCTATAGATCTCAAGGTCCAGCAAAGCAGGCTTTTGGATGCAAAGGTTCGAGGCTTTGGGCGCAAGCAATGCCCGGACCAACCCAGAGGTATTTTGGCTCGCTCTGACTTTGGAAGACCACTGCAGATACCTTCAAACAAAGCAACAACTTTCCTTGGGCTTTGCACCACAGAAAAAAATCAAAGACAGCTGCGTTGTGATTTCCAGGAATCCTCGGGCTGCACAGAAGCATAACCAAAAGACGTTGATTTTCTCGTGGGGCCCTTGGGGCCAGCCAAAGAAACATGTGCACTTGGGGAAGATCCCGTGCAATTGAATGAGCGTATGAGCATACTCTGTCTGAGACTTAAACAGTTGGGCCGTCTCCGCATGCCCTTACTTGCAGCCTTATCAGAGCATCTTTTTTGAACCCGCTGGAGTTAGACTGATGATTTGCGCATTCCTGCGGCACATAACTTGGAAACTATCTCTATAGATATTCATCTACGGTTGAAAACATGTGCCAAAGACCAGGGTGCCGACGTAGCTCCTATATGCCAAAGTACATGGCAAAAGAAGGCCTTCAACCGCAGCATGTTCTAGCCACCCCAAAATTTCAGCAAACCTCAGATCCACTTTGCTTGGCCTCCAAGGCGAGTTTGAGTGCGTCCGGGCCCTGAGCAACGGGCTCAAGGAGTTGGCCCACCTGCAGACTGGGTTGTGTTTAGGTTGTGCGGTGTGAAGGAATGTTCTCTTGTGTAATTTGTGTTTTGCCACTGTCATGGCGCGAAGCGACGCTGGTTCGAGCGGGTCAGGGCTGATTCATTATGAACTCGCCCCACTAGGGGCTTTAC